CTTGATTAGATACAATAGGAAAATAGTATATGCATTATATTTCAAGTTATTGGTACTTATTTTCTAAATATTAAGCTTTATATTATATCATTATATATTTTTCAATATACGTCAATTAGATATATTATTAGGTTTACTTAATAAATTCTATTTATGATTTTATTTGGCCTGATCGCGAAAATGTGTATATGATATTTCATAAATATTATTGTATAATCTCGGAGCCCGCACGAATGTTACTATGATGCCGTCGAAGGGTTAACGGATACACCAAAATGGGTTATTTGGGTTGCAACCTTTTCTGTGTAGAGTTATAAATTATAATATTATGAGTGTATCAGTGTGTATTATTTTATATCATACAGGTTACAGTGCCCTAAAACGTGTGCCTTTGATTATGATATAAATTAAATGCAATAATAGAAAACCGATCAAAAATTATATATTATGTGAAAAGGTAATAGTTGTACCTTAATAATTTTGTTTTGCATAATCGCTCTAAGCCTTTCGCATGTTTTTACCTTATTTTAAATTTCTTATTTTGAAAAATATTATATTTGTATTAAATATATTATGTACGACAGTTGAGGTTTTGACAAAATTTCAAGGGACGGAGATTTAATTTAGTATCATGGCACAACAAAATTGCTCTGAAGACCATACGCGTAGTACCTACGAGTGTAATATTAAAGCAATTTATTTATTAAATCAAATCAAAAATTTCTCAATATCCTACACGTTGTATTATTTGTCGTATATACTTACGGAGATTATTTCTGACGAAGGTATATACAAATAAAACGAGACACATCTAATTATTGAAATATTAGTATTTTATTTACTATTTTGTTTTGTTATATAGTGACCAAAGAACTATATTCCTATCTACTTTTCCTTACATGCATCATAGCTTGACCTAGTTTTATTTGTTGATTAATAATTGTCTTTAGTTTACTCGTATTAATTTCTGATTAAACACTAAAACTATAAGTTTCATAGATGTTTTCTTAGTCCAGTTTTAAATTATAATAATGTTTATGTATTATAATTTACAAGTTACAAACTATCTGTTCCTTACTTAATTTATTCAAGTACAAACAATATTTAATGCATATACAACAGTGAAAAGTCCAAAAATATACAGAATTAATATTTTCATATTATAAACTTTAACTACCTAATCTAAAAAAAAAAAAAAAAAATTACTTGGAATTGCATACTTATATTATTATATATCTATAGTCTCCAACATCTATATCCTCAAAACTGACACTGAAGAAAAGACATTTTCTCCAAGTATTGAATATTTTTTAATTTTAAATTATTATTTTTCATCACTAATTGTTTAAACGTGTCACTGTGGTTTACGAGACTATATAGTTTACTTAAACTATTATATGTACAAGGCATGGGCCTGTATTTTGTAGAATCATATATTTGTTTACATACACCTAGTAATAATATAATATTTAATAAAACCGTAACGTCCTACTGACAGGCACGTCGACGCACTATATTTTCTCGCGGGACTTGTTGATATATAGCGCACTGGGTTATTTTAAATGTAGTCCGTAGAGGGTTGTTGCATAATTTTATAAGGGTGCGCGCATGCGTTTGCTGTTCGTCGAGACACCGGCGGTCTATGAGGACTAGGCGAAACGTACGCGTAGGCGTGAAACACTATTTTTAGTGAAGTGATTTATAGTCCGAGCGCGTTTGTCACTTTGTCAGTTAGACTAATAAAAAAAATGAAATCAGATTTGCACCGTACGTAATCCACAATACATTTTCTTCCTGCAAACTATAAAAATATAATATGTCACCACTTATTATATATATATATATATATAATATTCTTAGTCACGTGATATATATATATAACGTATTGTCCTAGGTGAGTTTATAACAGTGAATGTTATTATAATGGAATTATACACGCGCTTATATGTATTGTATACATTATTGAACACATACACGTATAAAATATATAGGGGATAGTCCCTATTATAGTTTTCGTGAATTAATTCGATCCCCAAAAAAGGGCGATTAGCCGCTGGAAGCTATTGTACGCGTAGGCTGAATGCTGATGCGTCTACCTCCCTCATAATACCATCTCGTCTGTTGTCGATCGATCTAACCGACATGTTAATAAAGAAATCCATTAATTGTTTGTGGTATGACAAATTTCATAAATTTATAAATCACTTCTATAACCCTGCATCCATTACCCATGCGATTACATTATCCACGAGCATTTTAGCAACTGCAGGTATTTGTAGCATTATGATCCTATGTACCTACACGATATTGTAGGTAAATCAAGTAAGGCATAGTCGGGAAAATCGCTTCTCCTCGATGGGTCGTATAAATTTAAAGTATATATTTATTATATTTATTTAATCTAGAACATTTTAATATAGATAAAATATTATCAACTAATAACCTTTTGTGTATTATTTATTTTTAATAATTCGCATTATGGTAACACTATTGGCTATAATGAATATTTCGCAAAGTTCATCAAATAAAATAAAGCATTGACTTTCTCTGCATACCTTTAAAAATTTTTGGCTATGCTACTGATACGTTGGTAAGTGGCATGTGCTTGAAAATTGTATAATATGAAATATTATTGTATTAAATAATATTGGTCGGAGTTACGACGTTAAGGTACTAAAGTATATTAAACACCGTTCGGTGTGCATCATGGTTAATATTGTGGGTATCACATTACACATTATAATTATGCCATGATAACAATATGAGCAGGTTTGCATACACATTGCACACTTATCAAATACAAATGTCATGTACAATGTACATATAGACATATAAGTTTTGTACATTTTATATTATGTTTTTTTAATCAAAATATTTGATCGTTGTATGGATTTACCTATAAATATTGTTGTTTAGCGTATAAATCCAAAAGATCTGATTATAAGTGAATCTCGGGATCTACGTCACTGTACCTACAGATATGTATGTACATTGTACATATTGTTTTTTTTAAAACGCAAATGAGTATACTTCCGGTATCGGTAGCTAATGGTACCTATACTACTGGACAGTAGACGATAATCGTATTACTGCGATAACAATGGACGATACCAGCATATCAAGGTTAACCTGCTTTTTAAGAGTTTTAAAATAGGTAGCTTTAAAGAAGTGTTGATAATTACAAGTAAACAGCACTATTTGCTTTGTTACCTACGAATTAACAAAATTATATCATAAAAAGAAAAAAAAGAAAAATTGTGTTGTGTGATCCAACATCACACTCGCAGTCAGTAGTAAATATTTATTTCTTAAAAAAAAAATTAAGGAAAGTTCTCACCTGCATTACATTGATATGTAACTTTTTAGTTTTTTGTTTTGATTATTTGATTTGACAATTATAAAATAAATATTTATAGGTAATATAATGATTACCATAATATTAATATATTATATAATTATAAACAAAAAAACTAACGAATTTAAACGAATAAATAATTGTTTGAATATTAGTTTATTAAAAAGCACATCTAAACGATTATTTATATATAAAAAAGAAAAATTATGTATTTACTGGTATTTTGAGTGCTTATGTAAAGATGACTTTACACGGTTATTACTAGCAAAAATCATATTTTAATTATAACTCTTGATGTGATAAGTTTGACAAGTCAATGTTTATAGCGAGACTAAATTTTATATATTATTACAAATAACTGATAAGTAGCTATACCGATAAAAAATAAAAATATATGATTGCATACTATATTAAATTTACTGGTGGTACTTTTTTACATAAATAATATAATAATTCTGAAATATTAAATTAATTTTATTTTTGTACAACATTCATTAATGAATTACACGATGGCATATTTTGTACATATTATGTACTATACAGTACTATTGAATATTTTAGACGACGTACTAGAAACGAATAATACAACTATAATCACATTACTAATCGCTTCCAAATACTTTATATTAATACGTTGGTTGATCTAGAGACCGTACCTAAAATAAATTACTGGTGGTTGAGGAAGAAAGTTTAAACCTTTAATATCCTGAGGGACTGATCAGTATTTTTGTTTTTGAAACTGACGGAAAATATGTAATTTTCAGACATAATTGTTTCAATATAATATTGTTTTAAAAATTATAAAGTCATAAATTTGATAATTTTGGAGCATATTTTGCAAACAATCGTCCTATACCCCAGAGAATTAAATTATCGTTATCACGATCAGGTTCGCAATACATTGTACTGGATAAGGAATGGTTAACTCACATTTGGTATGTACAAAAAAAAAATATATTTTTTTTATAATAAAAATAATTTACAATATAAACTTAACACTAAAATGGAAATAAGGCACTTAAAAAATAATACAATATGCCTTTGTACAGACAGGAGCATTATAAATTACATATAATTTAACAAAACGTTTAAAAACATTTAAACTTTAATCCCTGTAAACGTGGTGTTTTTAAACTGAGCAATTTCAAAAAGTCGATAGTCATAGCCTAATAATATATATTTACTTAAGTAGGTAACAATAATTTAGAAAAGTAAAAAATCCATTAAAAAAATATCTTAAAAAAAATATTTGCTAAACATAATACAAAAAAAAAATTAAAATTTCATTGATGTAAAAAAATTATGAAAATAATTAAATAATAGTTTTATAATTTAGTAATATATACGGTACGATTTAGATAATATTCATATATTATATATATTATTAAAGGTACGTTTTCTCTGAAGCGTTTGGACGCGGAGTCAAGCGTCAACTACCGGTTCAAACTATAGTCCAAACGCCGTGTTGTTCTATTGTTTGACGCTACAGAGAAAACGTACCTTTAGAGATAATGATGAAACAAAAAGAGAAAAAGTGTACCTAATCGTAATCAACTTAAAAGCGTAATGACTAGACTTTAAATGTATAAACAAAAGTTAACAAAAACATAATAAATATTATGAAGTCATACATAAAAAAAAAAAAAAAAATGAATGTTGAAATTCGAATAAAACAATTTGTAATTATTACAGTATTTGACCACCTCAATAATAATAATCTGTTGTAAAGGGGCAATAACATGTTTAGAAGAAAATTTACCGCGACAAAAACAAAATATCATTGTCTAATAATAATAATAATAATAATAATAATAATGTTATTAATAATAAAAGAAACAAATAGGCTTGAGACTCTCATTGTTCATGATTGATTTAAGCCAGTAGACAATTATTTTCAATTTTAATAATACACAATGAACGAAAAATTTAAAAAAAATCGCATGAAGATTTTCCAAGTCAATTTTGATGGTCAGTCAATAGTTGGGTGTAGAAATTGGGAGGCATGCGGAATTGGAGCTCACCGGGTTCGATCTTGTACTGTATGTCGGAGAACAGATTGATGTCAGCCGTTGTTAGCAATTGGTGATGTTCGGGTTCGGGCTATTAACAAACAATATAAATAAGGATTTTAAAAAAACAATTTCTACATGTAAACGTAAAAATGGGAATAACCAAATAAAGGAAAAATAATTTATAATGCATTTAAAACGTTATTTAAGAGCCGCTGCAATATAATAATATACTCACGTGATTATTATGCAGTGGACTCTGCTGCAGAGATAGAACTCCTTGCAGTTGGTTAATGTATTCAATGGCCATTTGTAGGGTCTTGACTTTACTCATCCTTTTACTCCTGTAACAAGCAAATGGGCATATTATAGTTTTTTTTGTATAGCATTTTTCTAGTTTTTACAATATACAAGTATAAAATGATGCAGAAACCACTATTATTATGTATTTAATTATCAAACACGTGTATGTTTGTGTGTGTGTTATACGCGCGACTGTATAGAGTGCACACATTTTCCCGTTTTTGACCCCGAAAAGTGATTTGCCGCCTCGAAACGGTACTGAACGGTAGGTATATATGGCTGCATAGCAGACGGATTGTACGTAGGTGCTACGCGAGACGACGTTCTGGTGCACAGGAAGTTCTTAACGAGGGTGCGGAAACAACATCTGTGGCGGTAGCGGCGACGACGATGACGACTCGCGAGCACACAAATGGGCCGAGACGCGTGTAATATTGGCGACATGTGACTTAAATTATGTTTATTATTATATTAGTGTTTTTATAATAATTTATTATATTATACACTTTATAGACGCTAGACAGACGCACTCTCTTGTCGCACGTGCAACCCTAAAGATGATGTTATAATAATAACATTATACTTGTAGAAATTTCGAAAATCTGAAGGAGTTGATTAAATCTACGATTCGCGAATACAGTTTGGAAGAGGGAAAGGGGTTGGAAATGAGGTATGAAGGTATGCAGATGAGACGTCATATTTTGTAATACATTAGAGGGGAAACCGGGTTTTAAATGAAAAAAAAAAATTGTTCGTGCGGAGTGTATGTGTGTGTGTACTTCAGCAGCAGTGGTCGTCGTGGTGGTAAAATAATGTGTTTTTGTGAATAATTGTATTTATACGTGACGGTGACGGTAAGGAGTATAACAATTTTAGACTTCGCGCGTGGCATCAACGGCGAGACGACAGAAAACGCGTGTATACAGTTATTAAAACAAAAATCGAGTCAGGCACGCGCCGGACGCGCGCATCATTTAAACTTGTGTATCTACCTATATATTATATGATACCTATAATAATACACACACACATACATATACATTAATACTATACAGACGTCGTAAAGTAGGTGCGATCGCCAATAATAATTGACTGGTGTCGGCGGTCCAGAAGCACCTGTTGTTTCTTTTTTTTTATCTAATTCTTTCATTGGTGGCACACGACTACTAAGTGTAAAAAAAAACCAGTTTGCCGAAAAATAAGACAGCGGCGCCGACGAAGGGGCGGAACGGAGGGAGAGTGAAAAGCTGGTCAAAATATTATAATAATATGTACATTTGCCGCCGTGTACCGGTTCCACCCGAAATGTTTTTAATCTCTTCCTCTTAGCCGGCGCACGTCTCATATATATAGGTATAAAATATAATATTGATGAGACGTGTGTGTATGTGTGCAGCGTAATATTATTATTAATAACGGAGACGAGCGGCAGAGGAGTAGACGATTCGGTCGTCGGTCATAATATATATTATACATAGGTATAATATTATTATACATAGAAGGACTAGGACAAGGAAGAAGGAACGAGTCGAACTGCTACCGACAACGAAGACGAAGACCGCGTCTTGTTGCAGGTGCTTTTTTTGGTTTTTTTTAAATTTTTTTTTTTGGGCGGCTCGTGCCACGGGACACGCCACCGCATCACCTGTCTCGTGGTCGTCGTCGTATATAGTTTGACCTCAAGTGCCGCCCGATAAGACGTTATTACTTATATTTGTATAAAATTGCCGCCGCCGTACGCTAACACTAATTATTATTACGACCAGTTTTTATTATTATTATTATTCCGTTTTATTATCGGTGGCGGTTCGGTGGTTCCTTCTTTTATATTATATTATTATTTTACGCATTATGCATAATATATACATGTATAATATTATAATTTTATCTCTTTTTCGTTTTTTAAATAATAAATTGTTGACAGTAGGCGAGAGAACTTTTCGACAGTTCGATCGAATGTTTCATCGTTGCAATAGAGTTATTCAATTTATTTCTGATAAATCAAAGACCGTCTATAATTATTATTGGTATTGATATCATAAAACTTCTAGATTCCACGGTGTATTGTTAAGCTATACATTACTTATCAAGGTATGTGCAAGTTTGTGTAAAATGTTACGTATAATTTATATTATATATATATAGCCATATTTTTAACGACGCCGTTTAAAACTTAAGTGGATGTCATAATGTTAAAACAATAATATGCGTTATAATACACAGTTTTTCGGTCGTTAAACGTACTCCGGATATCACCATTCCACATATATACCCACCGCATACAGTGATAATCGTACCGAAAGAAAATCGTTTGTTTTATACCTAACCAAACGGACTTCCGAAAATTTTCGAGATAATATGTGGTCGGGATCATGGTGCAGGGTTTATTTTTTTTTAACACCACGATATACACTACATGTGATGGTGAAAGGATTTTACAGCCCCGGCGCAGAGCATACAATATAATGTAATATAATCTAAAAATACGTTTAAATGTCCGTGAACAGTCGGAAGGGAAGATTTAATTTTTTAAACAAACATTTCGGTTCATGAACAGTGTACGGGCGTGGGTTAACGACTGTGATTAGTAGGGTCTAGAGAACAAAAATGAGATATTATAACATGTATAAATACATATTATACTATATTTTATTATAGTTTAGATACACGTGAGATCATACACGAGAGGAAGCATGTGACAATAATATGTTTAGGTAGGTACTATAATATACCAGCTATTGGCGCATTAGATGCTACCGACCGTTGAACGACTTTCAAGTATTTGACAACTACTGTCATTGAAACTAAATTTATTGTTCTGCCACGTATCGAAGAAGAATAATCTGGTAATTATTAAAATTATGTTGTTATTGCATATACATTCAACTCAACGGAATAAAAAAAAAATCTTCGATTAATTTTATCACTCTTAAGCATCACAATTATTCAAGATTTAATTTTTTAACATCACACATTTCAACTAATGTATACAACATATTAATATACGTACGTTTAACAATATCGATGGTTTTTTAGTGTTATAAATTTTAAACATACATTTTTAATTACATAATCTGCCTGTCACATAGAATATCGAGGTTATTATTATCATGTATATATAATATATTTTTAGTTTATGTATTTTTTTATACGAAAAGGGTGATCATGAAGTATGTGAACAAAGCGACAATATTTTATACACTTATTTATACTTTATTTTTATTTTTTTGATTGATCATTTTGTTAATTTATATGAGTATTATAGAGCACGACAAAGGACGTGTATTTGTTTGCATTGTGTATTCGGCATATCATAAGATCACAATCCAAAAAGTTCAGAATTATATCAAAAATATTTTTCAAATAAAATATATTACATTTTATTCGAATAATTTAGCCCCTTATGATAATAAATTATGTATCTATGTTTAATTGCAAAACATCACAGAAATAATTTTTTTTTTGTTTCAATGTGGTTCACTACCAAACATTATTATAAACATTATCCTATACGGCTATACATACATAAATATGGTGCTAAACTAAAACGCGCTTATTTATATATATATATCCATTACTTATCAATTAATAAAATTATACGATGTTTATTTGTTGTGTTGCATGATATCACGAGCTTAGTAAAAGATATTAAAATGAGAATTTGTCAGTCAGAGTCAATTAATATAACAGATTGCCTAATTCGTTCGCAATAAATATACCATAATAATAGTGCAATGTTTATCTCAAAATAGTTTATAATGGTATTGCACTCACTTGTTTTCCTCTAGCGGAACAACTTTTCGGAGTCTAGCAAATGCCCAGTTGACCGCTTGCACTCGGCGTCTTTCGCGCGCGTTCCGTCTGGCTACCACTTGAGCGGGTTTTTGTCCGGCCGGCGTGTCTTTAGATCGACCGCCCTGCTTGGCTTTGGACGAACCGGCCTTTTGGCCTCCACCGGTAGATGTGGACAACAACGAAGAGGGCCCGGGCGACGAACTAGTCGTGCTGCAAATAATAGTGTTTTGACTGTCCGAATCCGATAGCCATTCTTCCTTGTGGGTGTGTGCAAACGCTTCTGAAAGAAGAAATGACGCGTATTTTTTAAATGTAAGGATAACGATGAGAAAAGTTTAAGAATAATGACGTAAATATAAACATAAAAAAATAATATTTGTGTGTAAGCATATAATAAAAACTTAATAATGTACCCATGTAGTTCAGTTAAAAAAAAAAACAGAATAGAAAAAACCAAATTTAGAAGAACTCACGCACGAACGATAAGAGCTGCCATTGTCATTTAATATAGGTAGGTATACGTATTATCTCTCTCGTTTTGTGTGCGCATGGCTTATAATAGAGTGGCGCGATGTACGCGTATTTGCATACAAACCGACCGATTAAGTGTATATTATTATTATGGTTGTTGTTGTTTTTGTTGTGTACTTATTTTATAATATATATATACATATATATATATAGTCAACGTTCCATTAGGCAACCGTTTTCCTCAACCTCACCCCCGACCACTAACAACCAACCCACCGTCGTCCGCAAGAGTACCGACTACGCGTTGTGTACTTGGATTTTTACTTTTTTAGGTTTTAAAACGGGGCGAGTCGTCATCGGTGGTTATTTAGTTCGCTCGGGGAAAAAAAAAACCGGAAACGCTAACACGGCCCTTCTTCTGTATTGCCGTCAAACAATAGGCACACTCAACATCGAGTTTTCGTTTTATTATTATTAAAATTACTTTATACCATTGAAACGGTGCCCGAGCTCAAAGTGATATAAGAACTACATCCGACGTCAGTTAAAACATTTTAAATAAAAAAAATTCCCGAATAATATACATTACATGTTATTATAACGATAAAGACATAATATAGTATAAATACGCGATGGCAAGGCGGTGACGACGCACGTTATTATATGGACGAAAACGACGTTCGACGCGCGACCGTTCGCACCAGCGAACAGTTTAATTTCAGACGAAAACTGGTTCTGGTTATAATCGACTATCGACAGATATTATCGTCGTTATATTATACTCATTAATATTGATAGCCAATAGGTACATAGCATATAGGTAGTATATATTATAATTATTTATTATTAATTATTATTATATATACCTAGTGACAGAATAAATACTTAATAATAATAATAAATTGTAATTTATCTGTGGTTGTTGGTCGAAATCGCCGCGATAAGAACACGGACGATACATAACAATATTATGTTGATATAGGGGTGATTAAGTGATTTGCATATTATTATGTGCGCGAGTGGAAGCGCGCATTCGAAACTCACCCTGTTGTTGACTAGAAGAATCAGCCGGTGACGGCAGACCTGAAGCCTCCATAAGTGCAAAATACAGTTGACAGAGATATTAGATTATAACCTCCACGCGTACGAGAAAGCGTTTTTCGCTTTTGTTTTACACAACCGCGAACGCGAAAACAAACTAGGTAAACGTACCGGCGGACAATATGGTGGCCGGTACGAAACTGGATCGGGTACGCGCGGCGAATAGGTATTTGGGCTCCGAAGAATTTCGAGATCGCATTTTATCGTACGAACATCGCGCGCCAGGTACGCGCACACACATGTATAGGTATAAACCTTTTGTGTTTTAAACCAGTTTTTTTTTCATTCTGTGCTCTCCACCACCGTCGATGCACTCACACGGGGATGTTGTGCTATGCAAAGCCGCCTAAAGGTCTGGGCGGCGCACAATGGAGAGGGCCTATGGGGTTGTGTGTGTATGCGTGTGTGTGTGTGTGTGTGTGTGTGTGTATGCGTGCGTGTTTGTGCGCGTATGCGTGCGTGCGGGTTTGTGTATTTGCCCGTGTGCGCGTCGCAAGAGTTTGCCACAGGGATTCCGATCCTGTACACAAAGAACGTCGGTTAAGTACGGTATTTCGTCGTATATATTATATAATAAATAATATGCACATCAAAGGGGCAAATTTAACAAATTTTTTTTTTTTCAAATCGCGTCTGGGCACCCTCCGTCCAAGGGAATTCGTGATGTGCACGCCGGGAGGGGTAAAAGAGCGACGTGCGGACAATAGACGCACAAACGAACGAGCACCCCGATTACGTAAGGCCGCGTTGTATTATACTATATACCTGCACTACCGGAGTTACACGTTCGCGTCGGCTATTATGTTCCGTGCAGACAATATTTTTTTCTTTGGTGGACCTCACGTAGTTCTACTGTGATAATACATTTACGTATGTCCAGAATAAAATAATTTATTATTTCACAAAAAAAAAAAAAAAGAAAACAATCGGGTCAAACCGTCGGAAAATCGAATTTATGTGTGTATATGTATACATTGAGCACTATAATACATCTATATATATGTATGGAAGTATTATCTGAGTACAACAATAATAATAATATATCGTATTAATGGATATATATAGGTATATATATCCATATATAGGCATATATAGATATGTTCACTGAGATTTTTGCACTCGCGGTGCGTGTATTATCTTTAGTTTAATTATATTATATTGCAGGGACGGTCAAACTTTTTTCAGCCGCGATCTACTAAAAATATATTTCACCTTTGAGGATCGACTTCGATAAAAAAGTTTTTATTATTATTAAGTTACTATACCACCATAATTAATTTTCGTGAGCGCAGCCTAAAAATAAATTCTAGCACGATCGATTTTAAAATCGTTTGCGATCGACTGTTTGGCCGCCCCTGTTATATTGTATAGCTATATATTATAATGTAACGATTATTTTAACATTCATTATTTTGAAAAGTATTAAAGTTATTGAAAACGATTTTTCTTCGTTAAGTTTATTGCAATGCTACATTTTTGGATATAAAAGTAATATTATTTTCTAATTTTTTCTTATCGTTTCATAAGTATTTTAATTATTTTTTGTATGACTACATTATATACATGATTAATTTCTTGTTCTAAAGCAGAGTATGTTTCTGAGAATTTTTATTCAAAAAAATCGATTCTCTAATGAGTATAAAATTTATTAAGAGTATTTAAATCAAAATGAGTGAAATTCAGTTGTAGATTTGCAAAATTTTGCGAGGTTTCGGAATATTAAAGTTATGTTTTACTGTATACGTCAGTACACCACTAATTTTCATTTAAAACACTTATAAGTTATAATGCTAAAAATAATTATTTTTTTAGTTTAAAATTCAATTTTTATTCATCGAAATTCTTTGGAATATACTCTGATTTATGATATTATAAAATTAAAAATGTAGGTATGTTTTCAATCAATAATAATTAAAAATTTAAAAAACAAAAACGACAAAAACAAACTAATTTCTTAGCAAACTTTTTTAAAGAATGGCGGTGTTTAATTGTAAAAAAGAATATTTAAAAAAACAATAATACTTTTTAAGATAATATGTGTTTAGTGTTAAAATAATCACTTTGTATTATATGTATTATGTATAGTTAAGTTCGGACATAGGTTATAGTCGCCCATAATATAATAATACACGTAAAATCAATAGAAACGTGGAAAACAATACAATGCCGAGCGACTAGACGATTTTTTTTTCTAAGGTATAAAGTATATATTACTATATAGGTACTCGTAAGCATTCATACACCTTATGTTATGGACCATATGACGTACATATATTTCAATTCCTTGGGAACAGACCGCACGTATGTATAGCCCATATGGTCTCTCTAGACTAGACGAGAACGGGAACGCGACGTAAACACGCAACATATGGTGCCCAAAGACGTTAATGAAAGGCGTTCACCTTTTTTTCCACCCTCTTGATCTGTCTGGTAACGGTACGGTCTGGACATTTCGCGGATTTGACGCGAACATTTGGTCATAACATCGTAATAACATATATTATAGAGAAATATATTATACAGTTCATTTTGACGAACAATTTTCGTATATAACAAATGTATATTATTATGCAATATAAGCTGCGCATTATGATCGTGGACTACATTAGATAATATGAATGAAATGCTATAAACAGAACAACAGTTGCATCGCAGTAGTGGGCGCTGCCACCTGAGCCGAAAAACTGACCAACCGTCAAATTAAATAATTTCACCCGAACCGAATTTACTTCCGGGCTGGTTATTACATTATTGTGTCCCACGCTATACACGGATAATCTCGATTTAATGCGCGACAACCCTGTCAGACATGTAAAGCATGTAAAAGTACTATAGAAGGGTTGCTGCTACAGTGTATAATAATTACTCCGCACCTGAGCGAATTATTTGAATTTTTCACCCCCGAGCGGTGACGGGGACTCTGCAATGTACTGTGCGTGGGGGAGACTAGTCAAAATGTTTACGGTCCGCGTAACACTGTAACAACTCATTTCCTAGTGTGTGAGAACCAAAACAATAAATAAAATGAAACACAAACCTCCGAGTTCCGGCGGTTGAGCTCTTGTCTCGTTATTGTGTATTATCGCTAGGAAAAACGGACAAATCTGTAACGAATTTTCGTTTCCCTCTCCCCCACTTTATACATACATATATATGCATATATCATAATATTTTTACTACATATAGTGTGTTTATAGAACAAACGTATTTACTACTTACACCACATTCAAATAAATAGGTAATTAAAATATTATAATATTATATTACTACAATAATGTCGACCCTTACCTGCGTCGGATCCTGCGGTCCACCAGTCTTCCTGGACATTTCCTTGGTCAACTCTGGAGCAGAATTGCATGAAGGACGGCATAGTGGATTTCAGTTCTTCACCAATGCTCATCATTGCATAGCCTTTTGTGATCAAAACCTGAAACAAGTGAAAATAGGATTTACGTTAATACACTGCGAGAATATAGCACACCAAAATTGACATATGATAGTATTATGTATTAATATCACCGTGGTGTCGTATATGATAATATAATATGACGTGTAAGACGCATTTCGGTATGAAACTTTGTTTTTAGGGTTAAATATTGTTTCAACCTGCACCTTCCCGGGGCGCCACCACCGGTTTGGATTATTAATTATTGTCACCGTCTTCGGTCCCAATATTTGTACTGATAAACAAGATATTTGTTATATATGCACGCGTGCGAGTTGCATCTGCTTTTAATAAACAAAATAAAAAAAAAAATCGCCTGCTTTTAACCACGCGCCTGTTGCTTTGCACGCAAGCTGCAATGTCGCGCGTGTGCAGTGCACCTACGTATATTTATATACACGTCTATGGTCTATATTACCCTCGTTGCGTGGTTTTACGACGGTCGTATAATCGATTTACTAGTTTTCCAATCAACCCTCTATATACGTCCATGATTGTAACCTAAACAATAATAATAATATATAACCACGCGCGGCACTAGAGATCTTCCCTTCCCAAACACGCGCACGTTCCATATGTAAGATCTATATAGATTAGGTACATAATATTAGATAAATAATATTATTACTTTGCACTCGATATATCATGTGTGTACACTGCATATGCCTTATCGCAAACTAAACAATTTGTCGGCGAGTTCATCGTCGAGAACTATAGGTAAACGTCAGTTGGTTTGAAAAATAAAACCCATTAGAAACAATATAATAATATATATAATTGGCCGCGCCACGTATTTAAAACGACAACTGGTTTTACAAGCTTTATTATACCAAAACGTTAATCATAGCTTCGGATCTGTCGCCGTCGTACCGCCTTTACACGTACAACATAATAAGGTGACGTATTGTTTTTCGTTAGTTCATTCATCGGAACGTTCTTCAACGATAATGTCTCACACCACTAATTGAACTCGAATTTATACAAGTATGTACAGATGGATTCTAATTTTATTTTATGATAATCATATAAATATTTTAATATATCATGCTCGGTAACCGCGGTCGGGGTACGTTTTTTATTCGAATATAATTCGTCGGAATATATCATTACGATCGCGGTCGGTTGAATAATTCGGGCGGTGGCTTTTTATATATTCGAATGCATAATAATTTTTCTTTTTTCGTACACTTCGACGGTCCCGGGATTTGTGCGCGCCCCACAAAAACCGGTTCTCTATACACGTATTCTATAGGGGGTTGTGCCTGCGTGCGTGCGTAAAGGGCTTATTATAATGGAGGGTTGGTTAATGGTTTTGTATATACATATATTTTTTTTTCAGTTTCATGCTCGAGTGCGATCGTACGCTGCCGCCCCGTTTCCCTCCACTATACCACCGTTTCATCGCTCTCTTTCTGTTTTTCTACATCGTGCACCAACGGCAGCAGCGTCACAAGTATAATGCTACGGAAACCGTTTGGGGGGAAATTATTCACCGATACACTCGTGCATTATAAACGCACGCACATCAACCCTGCGTGTCTCCCATTTTGCAAGGGTGGTAGTTGTTCACGACGGGTTTATAATATTATATACTTAAACGATTTGACAATGTCGCAATTTCGTTCTGACGGATTTGTCTAGGTTATATTTTATGAATGAATAATCTGATTTGATAATGAAACTACTCAGAACTTGAACGTCGTATCCA